GTAGGAGTTATAAAGTCCTACGTAGGAGTTAAAAAGTCCTACGTAGGAGTTAAAAAGTCATACGTAGGAGTTTAAAAGTCCTACGTAGGAGTTATAAACTCCTAATTAGGCTTTTTTATCTCCTACGTAGGAGTTATAAAGTCCTACGTAGGAGTTATAAAGTCCTACGTAGGAGTTATAAAGTCCTACGTAGGGGTTTAAAAGTCCTACGTAGGAGTTACAAACTCCTAATTAGGCTTTTTAATCTCCTACGTAGGAGTTTATTTTTTATAGAACATTATGAATTGGCACCAGGACGCTTCCGTATATAAGTGAAGGTAATTTATAGTAAAATTTGTTAATTTTAGTCGTAAATGGCAAAGCGATGGACCGCACTCTGCAAAAGTTACATAAATCTTCCTTGTTATAGATACTTAAAAAAATAAATAAGGAAGTAAATTTCTTTTGTTTGTTGATATTTTAAAACAAAAGATTGACCCAAAGCAACAACTATACCCACACTTTTATTACAAACCGAATTTCAGCTGAAATGCACATACTTGCACGCAGTAAATAGTACCGTATGTTCGGTAAGAAGTTAGAAAATCCGTGCCTAAATTCATTATAGGAGGGTTATCATAAATTTCGAAATGTATTATGTTATCGAAAATTTCAGTTACAAATTTGCTTAAATTTGTGCTGTGTTCAGAAATGATAAGAATGCGCGGCTGAATCACGTGACAGGTCAGCCATTTTTTCCAATGTAATTCGCTACTCGACTGAAAAGCTGTTATATAATACAGATATCAAGATATTTTGAAGAAATTATAAGTATCCTTTAACAATTTCGCCACACTGAAGGGAAGTCAAACTATTCTCCCCCTTACCAGTTCCTCCCCTGACGTTTCCTCTCTGACGGTTCTCTCCCTTTTTTGAGGGAGAACCGTCTGCATATTTAGAAATCAGCAGACAGTTCCTCCAGATTTTGATTTTTATTAATACATTTTTATTAAAGTATTTAGATGTTAATACATGTAATAAATGGATAAGTTTATGATTAATTGAAAAATATATTTTATTGAAGTATTTAGATGTTTAATACGTAAGTTTATGATCAATTGATAAATATTCGAATTATTTTTAGCATATTAGTATACTATTCTAATGTGCACTTCTTAAATGTGTTTATTCATTGAAAATGATCAATAATTTACTTGATAAGGATAACCATAAGATATTAATTATTGTGTTTATTGTTGATGTTGTTTGTAGTTTTTAATAAATAAGAATAAGCTTTATAAGAAAAAATGATGAATAATTATTAATTGCTAAATTTCATACTTTTGTATTATGAAGAAAGGAATTCAATAAACATATGCGTTAAGTTTGCTGTTAGAATTACTGTTTATTAATTCATTACTCAAGAATCAAAGTCTTGATTAGATTAAAATAGAAAATACATAGTTTTTTTAAGCATTCAAATAGCATCAATGTTTACTATTTTTGAAATTGCTATTTTCATACCTTGTTTTGTCAGTTTTTAAAATCTCTTTGAAATTTTTACCGTTCCTATTTTTTTTCAATATTGATCTCCATTTCAAATTTACAATTTTAATGAATCATTTAAACTGATTATACTTGACTTATTGTTTTGTTGGAATTTCATGAATCTCTCAGGATGAAATTGTGACTTTGTTAAGTCATGCATTCACAATTACAGATAGTTTATCCCTGATGGATTAAATAATGATAACTAGAATATCAGAATGATAATAACTATAATTCTCAGGAAAGTGCATGCTTTTCATTCGCCTTATAAAGAGATGAAATTAATAATGATAATAACTATAATTCCCAGGAAAGTGCATGCTTTTCATTCGCCTTATAAGTAGATGAAATTAATAATGTTTAGCCATTGTTAAATAGAGGACTTGGTAATCTACTTCCAGCTTCGGCTTCTGTCAGTAGTGTACTCTTAAAATGTATTCAACTTTTAAAGTATTATTTTGAGGATATAAATCAATTTGGTTTTTCGATCTCAACTGAATACTGATTTTTAATACTTTCGATAAACCGTGTTGTAATTGTTGAATTTCAATGATAAATCTCCCGAATTAAATCATCTTATGACAACTTTTTCCACTGTCCTTTGTTCTCGGTCATTTCGGCTTGAATATGACATGAACTATTTCAAAAAAGTTGCAAATGGTAAAATCTGGCAGGCAGGAAATTTGGCATTTCAAGTGATCAACAGCGGTATGCCATATAATTTTTTTAGCACAATCGACCCTCGAGTGCTTTCATTGCTTTGATTAATATATAGAAATACATGAAACAAGGAACTTTATAAGTATATACCCGACGTTTTTATGAAAGAAAATCATAAGTGAATTATATATTTAATGAATTGAATTTCCTGTTTACCTTAATCCATTTTTGACATTTTTTGTCATGGCGTGATGAAATGAACGGCACTTTGTGACCTAATAAAACATACTATGGTTGTATTTTTTGGCCTATATTACATATGTTGTATAAAACAGTAGTAAGTAAATTGGTAATGCGTCATCACGTGTCAATATAATGGAGGTAAAAAGCCTAAAAATATAAATTATGAATTTCTTACACATTTTCTTGCACGGGCGTAATATTTTGAAATCATGCAACTGTTTTTTTGTATTCCTACAAGAGATTTCCTGGTAAAGAAATATATTTTAATTATAGCTAAATCTTTATTTGCTATTATCATTTTTTAAATAATTCACCGAACTTTATATTTATATATTCATTTAAGAATACAGATCAGGGTTATATATGTATCCCACAGAAATGGCTTCATTCAGTAGTGATTTCAAATGGATACTCATTATCAGTTACATACAAACTTCACCGGGGGGATTGATGCGCGGAAGATGGAGTTCGTCTTACAACTTTTGTATATACCGAAGAACCACTCGTTAAAACACGTAATTTTCATTATAAAAAGAGAGTTTGATGTGCTAAATTAAACTTTGGTGACAAAACCTGTCTAACATATTGTATTATATGTCAGAAAAACGTAATAGTTCATTTTTCGCCGTTTCTTGTTTAAAATTTGGTAGTTTTGAATACATTTCCAAAATATTTGATCATCTGAACATACTGACCTAGTCATTTGTGATTTTCTTCCATGCCTTACTGAATTATCTAATTCCTCCTTGTGTACTAGATAATTATTTACTTTTGTTACTCCCACTTATTCCGTTTTTTGTGCCGTCACCCCTTATTCCTCCATACACCCCTTGCGCCTTTAATAATCGTATTGGCTCCTTTAAGTTCTTATCATTTTACCTTTAACACATCCCTGCCCTCGTTTCACCGTTCTTATGTCCTATCCACTTGCTTAGTTCGGTGCCTTATGATTGTGTCTGAGGCTGCGTTTTTTGTACGTTGCCTTGCCTTGTTGATCTTTATTCTCTATTCTCATTCTATTCAAATTGTATTTACAAGAATCCTGGAGAAGCTTGATAACTATCCAGATGTCTCATACGGTCATTATCCTCACCCAAATTTTGTTACCGTCATTTTATACTTTGCTTCTGTCTTTACATCCCCAACATTGAACCCATCTGTATGACCGGCGACATTGTATTCAATTCCTTCAAGTAAAATCCACGTGAATGCTTGGTTAGATTGCCGAGAATTGTTGATAGTAAATACGATTCGCTATATCGCGCAGTAAGAATCCATCCCTATATAGGCATTGTCAATATTAAAGTCCTCATCATTGAACCTTACCACCTTACCTTTTTGAATACTGCTGATTGATTTAGTAAGTGATGCTTTAAAAAATGACCGGTGTATCTGACTGTATGTCTGGAAATGTTATATATTATAAACTAAGTATAAAGTTTAACTTACAAAATATATCTTAAATGAAAGAGGTGTTTGTGGCCGAATGGTGTTTTTGGTTGTCATGGACATGTGATTCTCCTATTATAAAAAAGGAAAGAAAAGTTAGCTTATTGAACGTCGAAGGTTCAATTGCATTATTTTTGTCATTATTTAACTCTATCGCCAGTACTATAATGCTATCACATTTTTTTCCATTCATCCATTCAAGTTCCAAGTTTTAACATTATCTCTAGCGTGTTACTTTTATTTTATTTCATGTATCATTAAACGATAATCCTTTCCGTGCTCTGCCTAGTGTTCTACCCTATTTTTGTTTTGGGTCCTCCTGGGCTTCTGGTTCTTGTTGCTGGGTCATGTGGTTCTGCATTCATTGACCGCCGGCTTTCCTTGCTGAGCTTGTTAACCATATTTTACGATGACGTTTCGTTATCTCCGTATGCAGGTTAAACGAAAACTAACATAACAAAGACATTATTGCAAACGGTTTTTCCGCTATTATGGTATGCATGAATGCTTTACGGTAAATTTACTTCTGATTTCTCCTTAGGATGGCAAGTCGAAAATAATTTGAAAGTCATACATGTGATAAAAGTAAATGTCGTTTTGTTTGTTTTTACCATTTTTAACACATACCAAAAAGTAATTTCATAAGGAAGTCATTTTAGTAGGTAAATGATATTATTAAAAGTCATATTTTAAGAATATGCACTTACAGGCACCATGTTTGATGCGTAGTTTTGTTTTGATTTGTTTTGTTTTGTTTAAAGACTATAGAATTGTACAAACTGTCCTGATTAAGGTTTTCATCTACGCATATATATATGTGACAGTATAATTATTGCAGAGACTAGAACCTATCGAGTTAGGTTTTCTTTTGCTTAACCTCTTTCTCACCAAGATGGTTCAAAACCCGCCAGTTTCACGGAAGGGCATCTAAATAATTCTAAGTCTTGTAAAGGTGGAAAATCGTCAAAATAGCCTTTGCAGTGTTGGTTCGATCTCCCCTACCCCATCGAAAACAACGACAACAACAAAAAACCAACTTCATCGCTGTGGAAAATCCTTTTATTTGCCTCAAAATGTATTATTTACTTAAGTTAATTAGTTAACCGAATAAAACATTGTCCTTAAATTTATATTAAATATTTATTATACATTTATTTTCTTCACATTTAAAACATGCATTTTAGATCAATCAACATTTATTAAGCAAAATTACTTCATTCTAAAACTGAAACAAATGTGAAGCTTTTGACAGAGATGTCGGCATTATAAATATGCATATAGGAGACATGCTCTGGGCAATGTCCAGAAAATATTTGGATAGTTTATCATTCTTAGTAATCTTGTAAATATTAACCTAAATTACATGTGTCACACTGGTAGTCATGCTAGCGGTCATTTGCGTTACAATCAATCAATAAATGATGACTAAATGGTCCCTGTACCCAATGTTTGACTTCATGAGGCATTGACTTTGGTAGCAGGGACCTAGATTAGGTGCGCAATAAGCCTCACAATGGAATACATTTGTGTCAAGTTACATTTAAATCCACCGATTATGTGGAAGTTCAGATATGAGCAAGAATTTTTCAATGACCTCTAAGTGTAACCTTAACCTTTAACCTAGAGATCTGATTCATGCACGTAACACTGCTTCTCATAGTGGTGAACATTCCTATGAACTCCATAAGTATATTACCATGCGTGGAGGAGATATGCTCTGGACAAAATTTCTATATTTCTATATTTTTTTTAAAAGACGACCTTGCATATACTAACCTAACTTAATGTTAAACACCAGTAGTTATGATAATGATAATTTGTGTTTCAATCCCCCAATAAATGATAACTAAATGGTTTAATAAGCATTTTCATATTTTCATCTGATTTTTTACTCATATGTGTGACATTGACCTTGGATACATGGACCTAAATTGCGCCCGCGACACTTCGTCTTACAATAGTGAAAATTTGTGGTAAGTTATATGAAATTCCTCTATGCCCACCTTGTTCATGCTCATGATACTGCTTCTTATAATGATGAACATTTGTATGAAGTTTTATAAGATTACTTACATATGTGTAAGAGATATGCTCTGGACACAATCTCTATATTATATTATTTTAAGTGACATTGACTATTATCTTTAGTGACCTTGACCTTGCAAATATTGACCTTAACTACATGTGTCACACCAGTATTCATCATTATGACCATTTGTGTTCCAATCCCTCAATGAATGCTATCTAAATGGTCCGAATACACATGTCATATTCGTAACTTTGTCCTTTGTGAGTGCATTTGTATGCCTCGGAAATGAAAAGTTCAATGTCAAACATTTTCTTTTTGATGTCATGATCTTGCACCGATTCGTGATAGATAATACTGAGAAAACAGCTTCCAGAACTTTTTGTCCTTTGTTTCTTTCAAAACTAAGATTGACAACTTAAAAGAAAAAAATCTTCTTTTCGAAGATTTAGCTAATTTATTGTATTACCTTGCACATTTTAAGAGGTTAATTTTTAAAATTTTATATTTTATAATCATAGCAATTAAACCCATACAAACGGAAAAAAAAACAAAACGAAAATATAAAATAACATTAGTATACAAAATGCAAAGTTGTATTCATTCAACTGAAATGTTAGTCTAAAAAAGTATACATGATAATGTTCATACAGTGACTGTCTTTGTTTTATGAATTTAGATCCTGTTTACAAGAAATCCAGAGAAGCTTGTGTAGTATCCAGATATCTCATACGGACCAGTGATACTGCCACTCCCTTCTACCCAAACTTTGTCACCGGCATTTAACTTTGCAACTGTTGTTACCCCACCAACATTAAACCCATTCGTATGACCGGCTACATTGTATTCTACCTTTTCGCCATTTTTCTTCAAATTGAATTCACCAGGATGCCCTGTTGGGTTACCGAGCGTTGTGGAGAGTAAGTATGTACCGCTATATGGCGTCGTAAACACCCCGTCGTTGTACACATTGCCTAAATTGAAGTCCACATCATCAAATTTAATCAACGTGCCTTTGTTAACGTTCTTAAGTGATTTGGTTAGCAATGCTCTGAAAGCGACGATCGGAGTTCTTATCTTAGTTTCTGTAAAAATATATAAAATAAAATCAGCTTGGATATTCTTTCCTCATACATTAAACCTTAATGAACGGAATATTAGATTTCAACAAATACAAAATACGGAATATGTTAAGTACATTCTGAAAATCTCCATGACCATTTCCTGTTTTTTCTTAAGTCTTAATTTATTACTTTTATCAAATTTTGATAGAAGCAAACCTTAGCAATATTTATTTTGCTATATAGCAAAAAATATGAGGAAAAAGATACAGCCGAGCAACGTAACTGGAACAGAGCCCAACAAAACTAGATATAATATAGTATGGCTCTTTTATCTGATTTTCAAATGATGTCATATTCCTTTACAAAAGTAATGGTAATGATGTTCAATGTTTAATAAAAAATGTAAAATTCAAATAAAAAAATTAAAGAAGACAAATAACTTACTATTCACTTGATCTTCTAGTTCAGTAAACCTCCTCTCCCATTCGTCCATCCTTGTTCGTAGTTTGAACATTTTCTCAAGCATTTGTTCCATTACTGAATACACACATGATGGACTCTCGTCATGTCCAGCTACAATAACAACAAAAACTAACGAAAGAAGTGCTGTTGTGAGCATAAGTTTCGCCATCCTCGGACCTTATATGAATGACTCTATTTAGTAATTTGTAGTTAATCCTTAGTTTTAAAGTTAGCTTTTGCGTCGCAAATCGCAATGCGATTGATCACCCACTGCAAAAGTTTCGCAAATCTTCCTTGTTATGGATGCTTAAAATAATAAATAAGGAAGTTATTTTCTTTTGTTTGTCGATATTTTTAGAGGAAGATTTTATCTCGGGGAAAAGCTACATATTTCTATTTATTTCATATTTTAAAGCAGTTGAACTGGTAACACTCTTGATTATATTCATGCTACATAGACAAGAAATATAAAAAAATCAAAATCGTTCGGTTTCAATAAACATTCTTTACCATGCCCTTTCAAAAGTGTTTCTAAAAATGCTAGAATTGTAATAATTTGATCACATTCGTAAGATGTTCAATCAAATTTGTACGATTATAATCAAAAGCAAATCCAACTACCGAAATTCTAATTCTTATTACATATAATGATTTGTGACAAACTCATCGATTTTCGGCCCAAATGTGGTATCTGGGCGAAAATGAGTTATGACCAGTTTGAGATAGAAAAAGATATGTTGTTTACATGTAGCTAGAAACGATGATTTAATGATAACAGTTTCTTGAGCAGTAGATTTATTTATTGTGGGTAATATTTTACCAATCTTGAATTGTACATGTAATAGAAATCCATTTGTCAATTGATAATTTGATCGATAAAAATAGCTCCAACAAAATAAAATTGACATAAACTTTTTGATACTGCTAAAAATAAAAAAGTTTAAGAAGTTAAAAAAGTAAAGTGTTTTAACTTAAACATTTTACTGATTACATGGCTAAATGCAATGTACATAACATGCTGCAATTCGATGTTAAAAGCAACACTATCATCTATAGAAGCAGCTAATAACAAGTTGGTGGTATATACGAAAGTAAAGCACATGTTTTAGATGGATTAAGCTCTGAAATTATTGCATTCTCTCAAAGTGGGGATTGTAGGCCCAAGACCTCTACTGCTAGGGCAACCAGCGCGATTGTTAGACTTGTAGCATATCAGAATATGGTGTTTGTATGTGAATCCAGAAAAGGGATCACACTTTTTCATGATTTTTATATGTTAAGCTAAAGTGTCTTATATTACATATTAAAAAGTGATTTTGAAGTGGTACACAGATACATTTATTCCTCCAATATTGAAGAGAATATTAGGAAGAATATGTACTTGATAACGATTGTGAATAATTCCCATAATGACACTTTACCTAGTAGACTGAGTAAGAATATGTCCACGTGAAACAAAATGTCTTTTCATGACCAAGGTGATACTTTATTTGTGGTAGATTGACTGATTTATAAAGGATTTCCACAACAAAGCACATATAACAGATTAATCTTTGTTACTATCTTAAAATGCCCTTTACATAGGAAAATTCACCAGAAGCCGTCTTTTTATATACAGTAGCAATAGCATCTTTAGGTCTTAGATATTACATGAAGTTCCGTGTTTAAACAGGATCTGAATTTTCAAGTTCAACAAAAGAAAGTACATGTATCTCAATTAACGCTATATGTCATCGTTTAATATAACCTTTTTTCTGATATAAATAAATACTTTTATTATACCGATTTTAAGGTTTTGCCAATAAATAAAGCAAGGTTTGAACAAGTATGTTGTATGTTTCTGATACATGATTGTATGAACATATCACCATAAATCATATAAATTAATGTAATCATTAGTAGTAAGTATTGCATGTTATCCTGAACGGCCCATGACACCGGCTTGATTAGGACGTTTCAACATAGAAATAGTGAAATATTGAATTAAGAATTTTTGAATTTTACAAAACACACATGTTTTCAGATTAATGAATTTGTGAATCATCCCCCAGCATAGGCTAAGCGGTACTCAATTCTCAACACTTAACGTGCTGCATTTAATGACATTCAATGACCCAGAAATTTCTTAATAGTGGTTTAAATGTCGTTTCTTTGTTAAAAACTTGTTACCATGGTCATTTATAGCAGTATGTTGTCAGGTACTGCGTTAATGACGAATATGTTCAAATGAATTACTGTTATAACATACCTTTATCATAACATTCACCGCGTTTTTCAGTTTTCTTTGGAGAATGACGACAATTTTCGAAAAGTTATAATAATTGACCCTTTCTGTATGAGAGAACAGACATTCACAATTGCTCAAACGCCATTACAAAACATTGTCTTTGCTGGAAAGAGCCGAACAGTATTGATTTCTTAAAAAGCCATTGTTATGTAAAGTACATGTATGTCAAGTTCACGCCTGTCACATAAACATTATTCGAAGAAACAAACTGGCGTGTTTTCAGTATATATTCTTATTCTTCTATAGCAATCTAGTAAGGAAAATTGTGACAAATAAGTCTGAGATAGAAGTCCACAGAGACGCATCATGTTTGTGTTGCTTTTTCAGTGATTTTATCGAATAATCCTCATAAATTATTTTATTTTGCGTTATTTTTACTGCACACGAAACGAAGCGATATATTATTATTATGCACGATTATTAAATATAAAGTGTACAAATTAGTTTTCGTTTTACACTTTAATTAAAATGCTTGCTTTGTCAAAGTCGACCATGTGTTAAATGAATTATTCCTTTCTGAACCATTATTCCTCTGTAACCACAAAAATACTTCATTTGACTTTATACCAGACATTCGCTAATTTAGACCAAGCTTGTTAAAAAAATGAAAAAACAAAAAAAATTAAAATTACTTGGCCTTTTGTTCTTACAAATTTTTTGTCCTTAAAAAATAAAGGCAAAAAGATATCTGCGAAAAGTTATGTTATTGTGTATTTCTTCCTCAAAAATAATAATGAACGGCCAGGAAGAATCACGATTTAATTCATGTTGTACCAAATAAAAAACTATCATAGAATATTACCGTAAAAAAAGTTAATCCATGAAGAACGCAAAAAACGAAAACATTGAAAATGTTGCAGGCTCGGTTTGATTGAAAGTTGAGTGTTCGGAACGTGCAATACTGTTCACGCCCAAAAAAATCTGCTTAAGCAACACTGAAACCAGAAAATAAAATTTCGAATTTAGAAACATTTGCAAATTTATTCATACGGCGATCATCATGGAATATTCTATGTGAAATATGACACCCAATAAAAAGCGGCGTATGGTTCTCGAGTAAAATAATTTGTTTGCGCTTAATGAAAAAATAAACAATGGGCGGAACTAAATGATATGAAATTTTGAATGGGAATAGTGGCTATGAAGCCTGCATATCACAGAGTATCTGTTAAAAGGCAAATTTAAAACACAGGCATCATATCCTTAGGATGATTAAAAGTATGTAAGTAGGGGTTCTGGGACTACCAAATAAGAACAAGATCAAGCAGAACTAACTAGAAGTACAAAAAACACACACACAACAATAATGTCCTGATGAATGATATTCAAAGAACGAAAGTATAACATCTTGGATTAATTGTGCAGGAATTTTTGACGGCCGCTAGAACTTAAAATGTCACATGTGCATTTAGTTTTTGAATTACAAAAAATGTATTGGAATTCGCAACAAAATTAAATCTAACGGAACTGATACGAGGGTTGTCCAAAAAATTCTTGCACTTCAGTAACTGTCGTGAGAGTTATTAATAAAAACAAATGAATAATATATCACTTGAAGGGGAAATTTTGTCTCAAATAGGAAAATAAAAGAAAAGCCGGGTAACCGGCGTGTCGTGTAAAAGAATGGTCATTAAGTTACCTTAGTAACGTAATACCGGCGCACGGCAAAAATCGGGTTAGTTCATTACTGTAATTGTATTCATTGTTTGTTGCTTGTAAAATGGCATTTGCTTTTTATTTTATAATTTGTTTTACTGTCAAAAGAGGAATGATTGATGCAAAGTATTTTGTAGTTTTTATTGTTCTTATGCAACGGCAATGTAACATATCCCACTATATTGGACAACCCTTGTCACATAGTCCGGCATTACGGACGGACGTCTGCCTGACGGGTTGTCATCGTTTACCGACTCTCGCCCTTCTACAGAGCGTTTGTGCCATTTAAAAATCAGCCTTCGTGACACTGAACATGTCCCCGTCTGCCCTTTAAAGATAGTAGGTATCTGTTTGTGTCTTACCAATATTTGCATAAAATGTAATAATCGTCCGTATTTCCAGACGTTTAGCGTCTGACATTTTTACGTAATTACAATATTGACAACCTCACACAAATATTTGTTTACGACCGTTACAATTGGGCAAACGACGTCATATTTTATAGTGACGTTAGGAATACGTACACATACTTTTCCCTAAATTTTAACGTTTATATGTAGTGTTTAAAGAATACCGTGATGCATCAAAGTAATGAACTAACCCAATTTTTTGTCGTGCGCCAGTATTACGTTACCAAGGTAACTGTATGACGATTCCTTTTCACGACATGACGGTTACACGTTTTTTTCTTTTGTTTTCTCATTTGAGACAGATCTCCCCTTCAAGTGATATGTAATTAATTTTTTTCTATCAAGAACTCTCACGACAATAACTGCAGTGCAAGAATTTTTTTGGACAGCCCTCGTAAAACAATTTGCGAAAAAGTTCATTAATATAAGCTAGATAATTGTCACCCCGACGTACTCTATGTTCCATTTTGATAGAATTATTTTACATTTTTGCATAAGGTAACAGTAAATTAATTAAATGCGAGATTTACAATCAATATTTCGAATGTAATTTCTTCTTTACTACATTTTATACTTTTTAAATGACAATAAAGTCACAAATAACTACAGAGTTGAGATGTCTTCTTTCTCTGTAGATGTTTATGAAACATTTGTCAACATGAAATAAATACGGTATAGGTAGCCTTGAGTTCTAGGACAAACTATTCATAGCAATAACTGAGAAATAAATGACACGTTTTCCGAGGAACTGTGTCAGGTTAAATTTTCTTGATGACCACAGTTATATCATCATTATCGAATGTTCTAAAAACAGTTTGAAAAAATGATTCTTTTATATCATGATATAAGATTGTTATTTTAAAAACACGTCGAACAAGAGAAAAAATATCATGTTGTAGAAAAATGAAACTGACATTAATTGATGCTGTAGAATAGGAATAGATGATATATGTCCTTGAGTCGTTTTTTTCCTTATTAAAGATGCATGCCTCCAGATGAGTCAAAATATTTCAATAAACTCAAACTTGAGAAATATGTACTACGATTTTAGGAAACGTAAAATGATTCAAGATTCAAGTGATAGTTTACATGTAATGTTCGGTTAATGACCGTTTTTTTTTAGTATTTGCAACTAAATTTCTACTGTGTTACTAACGCAGTAAGCGTTATTTATGCATATTTTGACCACTTTTTAGTATTTTACATGGCTTGTAAGTGACATTGATAATGTGTAAATGGCTTCCTTTTGGTTATATCCCAATAGTATACATTCAAATACATTTTCAATATTTTCATGAAAATTAGCATGAATCTGGAGGCGTGCTGCTTTAAAGTATGATGTTGAGTTAGTGTATGTAATAGGACCTCTGCAATACAGGGTGTGTGATTATCGCCAATCATGACTATATATACTATAAAAATGGTTTTATTAAACAATTTGGCGACGGAAAGATGCATGTGACTATCTTACTTATATAGAGAAAAACAGTAGTAATCAAAGTGTAATCGTCAAAGTGGGAAAACACATTATCGTAAAAGTGTAAAAGCAATAAAAAGTAAACAAATTAAATGCATAAAGGTTAACGATTTTAGTTCATATATATTTAAGCCAAATCGTCAACTAAAAGGTCGATTTCACTTTGGATTTATCTCGTGCATCAGTACGTGAAGGTAGCTTGCAATTAACATTACAATAAACTGAGTCTTTTAAATCGAGCCTCAATTTTGCAATGTTAATTGTTTCAATTCTAGTGTTTTTCAATAATTGCCGAAGCTATATTATAAACTGATTGGCTGTAGTCAGTTTGTGGATTATTCTTTTAAACACGAACAAATTATTAAAAAAGTACTTATGCCTTGATTTATTTGCCCTCATGATTGTAGTGATAAATGCAAAATCGGAAAAAAGTGTAAGCAACCCTTTTGTTGTGTTTGATTTTGTAGTTAACTCTCCGGATCGAGGCATGGAGCCTTTTACCAAAGAACAGTTCAGCCACCCTATCGTTTCTGGTCAGCCTGTCAATCAGTTTACCAGTACTAGATGCATTCATTTTTTGCTATTAGGTCTCTACAGACCAAAGCAGAGGTACAGTGCGAATGAACGTTGAAATGTTTTTGTGATCTTTCACAACGAGCGTTCTGAAATAGAGCCCTGTTCGCCCTATTCACAATCCCATGTTCTTACTATGGACCTAATCAGACTGTTTTGACTGTGCATGTTTATTTATACTAGTTATAGGGTGAGTTGCAGTAATGTTGCAATTACCGAACAACACCGGAAAAACTTCATTACTTATTATGCATATGCTGCATTCCGGTTGGCAAATCACAAAGTACGTAGTTTGTATGTCATACATGTAAGCAAGAACGTCAATAAGACAACAACGTACGGAAACTTTAAATGTTATTTTTTGTTTATTTTATCAGAATCTTTTTTAGAATGATAATAAAATGTGTAATAAATTTTATGTCTCTTTATTACAACTCCAGTGAAAGATATCAACAATCATATATTTATCACTACAACAATGTTTCAATATACAGTAGAAAAATTGAGCACACTTTTTGATGATGTAGCAGAAAATGCAGTATGTACATATATGCCAATTAACCTGAAACTGATATGAAATTATAAAAGAGTCAAAAAGGACACATTTTATAGACTATAATGAAGTATATCACAGTGATGTAACAATATAACATGTATATATAAATGGAGACACTTTTAACCCTCCAGCTGCTTTCAAGATAAATATACCCGTTTCACACACACTATCCGTCTAAAAAATATAAGTTTTTCTTAATAAATGATTTTAGGTGCTTTTTGTACAAGTGTATTCTGTAGAAATTAAACCATTTCCATTTATTAATTTAAAGTTGTTCTTTTTTTCCAAAAATATAAGCTATAGAATAGAGCCTAAAGAACGTACTAAACGACAAAGCTGTTGCAGGCTCGGTTTGATTGAGTCTGTTCATGGACGGTAATGGAATGCAAGTTACCGTCCCACCCCTCTTGCACCAGCTTAAGCATTATTCAACATTTAACATTTAACATGAACTAGTAAAATTTGGAATTTTGAAACATCCGCATGTGTGCTTATATGGTGGTTATCATGGAACCCATAATGTGTCACTTTCGTGCCGTTCCATGAAAAGCGGCATATTGTACCAAATAAAAAAGATGCGTTTGCCCTAAACAAAAAATATGGGTGGAACTAAATAAAATGGAAGTTCCATTCGACAATTGCACATACACCTACTCATTCGTCCCTTGCAGACCAAGATAAGATGTTAAATCCGTAGCTTCCGGTTATGGTCGGAAACTACATTTTTTTTAAAAAAATGCATCAAAAGAACATGTTCCATAGCAGTGCATACAATTCAGTCAGTACACTTTTAAACTTCCCTTAAAATATTTTATTATTCCCAAAAATGATGAATAGTTTTGTCTAAATTGAGACAAAGTGGGACAAGTGTTGATTATGAAATAAAATGTCTGGCAGTGAAAGGGTGTAAATGATTATGTCAATGTACCAATTCGTAAGCACTGTGTAAACTGTTCTCTTTAAAATATGTGTTATGAGCATTGTTAAATCATTGAAACATGCTATTTACATTTATATAAAATAACAAATTAATCTTTTATCAGCATGATCTTGGACAAAAACTACCTTACATGGGAATAAAAATGTAATTAAACAAATATGTTTTAATTTGCAACAATTGAGCTATGTTTTTCAAAGTACAGTATGTTCAGACTTACTCTACCATATTTATATCACTAAAAATCAATCATGTAATGTTTTACTCAAACGCGAATATCAACATAGTTCATTTTTCATTTAACCTTATGTGTTTTTGTGTCTTGGCAAAATTGCCACTTTACAACATTTTGTGTTACCCTCCAATTAGTCAAATGATTTTTAACACTTTCATCTCATGTATATTACAATTTTCTTTAGACAAGCACAAATGCAGAGAAAATGTCTCCGTCATTTTAGCCTTCGAAACAGACAACTATATTACTTAATACATGCATGTATCATGCTGAAAAACTAACTCGTTGTGTAACGCTGTTTTAATACATTCTTTGTCTGTATTTATTTCAATTCTGGAAGATATTTTCACACATGACTCATCAGAGTTGTACGTCACTACCTGCCTCTATGTGTGCCTGTTTTACTCGAACAAGAAATCTTGGTCCTGAAAATGAGGAGTCACTTGTAGTATTCGAACTTCCGGTTGCTGAACTATTTTTTATTGGAAATAGTTCAGATATCACTTTCCAAGAACTTAAGTTTGATGCACGCATTCGTAAATCTGATAAGTTCAGTGAGCGCAGTAATAATGGCCGGAACTTCTTACTCATTAGAAAGTAAATTATAGGATTAACGACAGTTGATGATTTTGCCATAAGCACCGCTGTTGCAGTGAATCTAATCGGTAAAAGATTGACGTCACCGTAAGCAGACCACATTGATACAATAGCATAAGGCATCCACGATAACAGAAATCCCCAACACATTGCAAATGTGATCTAGAAAAAGAAAATGAAATGATATTTATCATAATGTTAAAATTAAGACTTACATAAATATGAAATGTTTCATATGCATATACCAGCCAGCTACATACTCATGTTTATAGTACAATATTAGCTATATCTATAAACGTATTACATCTTGATTTATCATACATTCCAAACATATCCATTATTATAAGCATCAGCTTTCAGTTTGATCACTTTTTTATTGCATTGCATGCGTTGTAAATTTTAATTCATGAATTGTAAACGTGTATACTTGTTGAAAATAAACTGTACTTTATAATGACATAGTTATCTTAATTTGGACAAGAAAAATTGCCAATAATTCTATTAATCCATATGTTGTTTTCTAAAATTATGACTACTATTGTAGAGCGTTCAATTTGCAGAAGAAAAGACTTTTGAAATTTGCATTGGAAAGAAACTAGGTTTAAAAAATGACTAACCTTGATAAGAAAAAACTCCTTTCTCGACATTTTCCGTGTCCTCCTTTGCCATTCCCGTACATTACGATTACTGTTTCGACACTTGAGCAAAATAAGGCTGTATGCAAAGAATATGATCACAGATGGGGTGAATATGCAAAACAAAGACATCATCGTAATGAAAGCTCTGTTTTCGTTCCACTGTAAGGTGCATGATGTTCCGTAGGATTCCAGCGAGTACGAACCCCATCCACTCAGTGGTAAACTTGACCATACTAAGGCATAGACATATGGTAAAATGATTGTACATCGGCGGAATTTTTGACCAGATAAATCTAAAATCAGAGAGAGAAGCAAAAAGAAGTTTTAATAGAAGTTGTACAAATTATTACATAGTATAACAAAATAGCAAATTTAATTAATATCCAAAGTAAGTTATTTGGACAAAAGTAATGATTGGCATTTGTTTAATTGAAAAAAAATCCATAATTCCAGTCAGTCAGGAGGTTGGATCACTGTATATTTTTTGAAAGCAGCCGATTGAATCTACAAACCATAATTGATTGCCTTCTGTGCAAACATGCTTATGTGGGTAAATGTACAAGTTAATGATGTTTACAATATTTTAACAAAATCTCGTTAACTCATCCATTACCAATTATTTGTTAACAATTGGTAAATAAAATGGTATAAGGTTAACGGGTCAATTTATATGCTAAATCACATTTTACAAGAATAATTGTGATTATGAAAAATATTATGAAAATCAAAGTGATAATTTAAAACAATTAATTATGCTTTATTCAAGCTTAACGATTCTTAACCTATCTAATTAAGATGCAAGGGACAAGTTATGGCATTTTCATTTATGATTGTATAGCCGTAAAATCTTATTAAGAAGAGAAAATGCTTATTATTATATACTGACAGAACCACATTGATATTTATTTGCTAATGGTTGGTCACGGAATCATGTTATTTAGATAGTTGTCACTAAAGGTACAGTAAAGCTGTTTATCGTGCTAAAATAAAACTGTACGTATGTACGTTTCTAAGTTAAAGGAATAACATGGTTAGTGATCAAATTTGCTGTAAAATATTATGGTATTGGTATGAATATTTTACAATTATACAACAAACACTTCCTTGTTGTGGACAAATATATTTCATGTTCAGGTCGGAATATGCCATTGCTTATCATTTATGGGTGAATTTATTTCTAATAAACGCCGGTCACTTTTGATAAAACTATTTCATGTCAACACGTAATCCTACGAGTAATTTTTCTGACATATTGATCCTTTTCATACGAGTATAAACTTACTTATGCTTGGGTGACAAATGCTGATATATCTGGTGAAACCCATGATTGTTAATGTAGTAATGCTGACAACGCCGAAAAAGAAGCCAAGAAAACCATATATAACACAACCTGTAAATGGTTAAATATAACTGTTTATATCATCTTCATAAAAAGATAACTTATTCTTTATCAATTTATATTGTGGTTCATATTATGGTTAGGAAATTATATATATCATACTGAAATAATATGAACGTGTTTCTTGTTTCTTCTACTGTTGCCCTTGTTGTTTGTTATTGATTTGTTTTTTTAAGAAAAGAGATGACATATTTGAAAAAAAGGAAACACTATCTTCATTAAAATGTTTTTTTTGGTTTCCTTAACATCATAGGTTATAAACTTTACCGTTTCTATTTTTACTAAAGAAAACCTCGGACATTTTAGGAAATAAAATAAACACGAACTTATCAATGCTGAACTTCGATCGTTTAAATAGCAGCATTCTTAAAAGAGTTTCAATTTCCGTATGAAGTAAACCAAAGTGCATACCAATTTCACCAAACATCCAACGATGATAAAATGAAGAAAAAATAGGAAGAGGGAATGCGCTTATAGGCAAGAGAACATCACTGCATGCGAGATTAAGGATGTAATAATCTGACATAATCAAAGAGTTCCAGTGTCGCACACATGTGTAGATGACCAAGGCATTTAAGGTGAATGCCAAGATACCTGAAAAGGGACAATATATCATTTGTAAATTGCTGAAGTTATTATCTCACTTGAAACAAAGTTATTTTTTTTAAATTATATGAATAAAATACAACTCGCTATCGCAAAAAAACAAACAACAAAACAAAAAATTAAAAAAAAACAACAACATAACAGTTACAAAAAAAGCATCGCAATCCATCATATGAAATTAAATTGTAGAAAAAAATAAATTACCTATTTTAACTACTTGAAAACCTTAATCAAATAAGTTTTCCTGAAGGAGTTCATCAAGTACAGATGAATACTTTAAATGGATATGTAGGCTGTTTAAATTGAAGGGAAATAAATGATGTTATTTCTGTTTTACATAGTTGATAACTATATAATTGAACTATTTCTAGAAGACACTGAATGAAAAAAAAATCAAAATCAATTTGAGCAGTTATAAAATATAAATGATAAATGGAAAGGATATTATTGTTATTGAATATGATTTTGGAAATTTTTATTAGGAACATTGTGCTACATTTTTACATATGCCCCATTATAAATCTGGGAATATTGTGATGAATTATATGGAAACAGTGCGATAATTTATATAATAGTACTATTGTAGACAAAAACAATTTCTTTCATATTGCTTTTATCACTTAGTTACTAGAAATATATGGTGGCATGTGTGAAACAATAAAGCTGAATGTTTTAACAAAATGAACATAATTTATATTATTCCTTGAAGACAAACTGTAATAAATACTCAATTTGTCATTTTATATAATGCTTTTCCTATCGTTGTCATTTTATAGTTGTATTTATGCCGCTTCAAATGTTGGAAGTCAAAATGCTTCTTTCAAGAAAAAAAATGTTTATATTTGGATACTTAATTTAACAATTTATTTCACAGCGATTCTTATTACAACTCAATCAATACCAAAGTTCGACAATAGGTACATGTAGCAAGCCTCTCACATGCTATTGAACTATTTTCGAAGCGTTACAAAATTCATGTTGCCTTTTCTTAAGAATTAACAATTCGTTCGTTTCTAAGGCAAAATGTACATTTGAAATGTCTAGATTATGGATTCTTTAAATTCGCTAAATGGTTTATTCAGAAAAATCTTATGTAAATTATCTTAAACGATGATCATGACAAAACACACAGCATATTTTATTTTGTTACCGCTCATTTCATTTGAGGGTGAGTCAAAATGTACCACATTTGAACATCTTCAGGAAATTTACCACTGTAGTGATTTCTTTAAAAGAAATCTTGTCGGGTTTGTCAGCAAACCAGAACAAAATATATGTATAGACAACATTACTGTATTTGGGTTTTTTGACCGATTATCGAAATATGCCTGTTATCTTGTTATTATTATAGTTCAAAATTTATTTTGCAAAATTAATCTTAAATTTTGATCAAATATCAAATACTTAAAATCAAAATCAACCATTCTTAAAAGATGCACTATCATTTGCTTTCACAAAATTTAACGAATTCTAGCGATTGTTGAAAGCGAGTTCTTTTTTATCAGATTTAAACTTTAATTATAAGCCTGTGATTTTTTTCCAATTTAATCCAAATTAACAATTATTTCATTACATTGTGTGATGCACTTACATACAAGTAGGAGATACGTTCCCACAACAGTGTCTTCCCATGGTACCAAGTGAGACTCGTACATGGGCTGTATCTTTTGGCTGCTGTTGATATCACTTGAATTAGTTAAATTAACAATTTCAAGCATTGTTACTTCTTTTTCACTGCATTTGCTGCAAATAAAAAAGACACTTCCTATACAGAATACGTAGTCAACGGAATGAAAAAGAAAATTATAAAGCAGATATGGTAATAAACTCTGAAACTCTGTTTTACTTTAATATACATAGGATCATAATAAGAGTTCATAACACACCAACTTTGATTTATCAAACGTAAGTAATTTTAAAATTCAAACTATGAATAACATGTAAATGAACAAGATTTGGATTGAACGCTTTTTCAAAATATTAAGATTGAAAGGGCTAAAAGTCATGACAGCATGTAAATACACGACACTACTTAACGTGATTGTAACAACTTATTGTTAGAAATACCATAATTATTGCCACACTGTTATATGGATTCTTGAACATGAAAAAGATTCAATGCATAGTAAGTTAAGTTTAGATGATATTTCAATTAAGGGAAATCTAATTCAGTTTCAAACATTGTCGTATTAGCTTGATACAAAGAAAACAAATAGTTGAATTGCAAGATATCATACCAGCATTTTTCTCTGTCAATACAATATCCACCGTTGACAAGAACTGTGTTACAATATCCTCCGTTTACAAGAATTGTGTTGCAATAATAATCCCTTAAGAATTTATGAAAAATAAAGAATAATTTCAAACACAAAACTATGTTAGCAGAACACATATAATCTGTATGCGATGCATCAAACACATAATCCTTTAAATACAATAAACAATCTTTATATCCAAAAAAGATTTTATAATGAACTACGGAGTTTCGCTAGTAGATGAAAACTTGCCTATCATACAAATTAAATAATCGCTCGAGAAATTAAAGCTATCTATTAGGCAATATCGGAGCGTTTCTAATGATTCAACAGAATATATATATCTAAAACAAACTGTTTTGATATCGTACATATATATGTGTGTATCAAACTAACATAATCACGTGATATAGCTCAGTGTCTATGAAAAATGAAAAGTTACAGTCAACGCGGCGCTTTAAATGGGAGGGAAAGTAACAAATTGAGTTCAAAAGTCTAGCAGAATGACTTTCCAATAAACGCAATTTGAGAAGCAGTGAAAATAGCTTGAATCAAGTTCTTATGGGCTGGTCATTTTATGAATATTTACTTTATATAATTGTTCAATAGTCATGCAGGATGTCATACGACGTCATAAAATATACAATTAGGATAGGACGCCTTTCTTGACCCAGGGAACTATAATCGAAATGAATGTTGCGTCTTTGGTGACCAAAGTTAATTTTGCATTGGAAAGGACACATTTCTATAGTGGGAAGTGAAAACATACTCAATTAAAACAATTTCAATATGCAAGCGTGGTTTCGAACGAAAGTGGCAAATTAAGGCTTTTTCAGATTTACAATATACAGTCGACATTGACTCAAGGGACTGCCAAAAAGTGGTCTCTTAATAAAGTGGTATCTCAATAGAATTCTGGAAAATTCGAGACTTTTTATTACAAGTCATAGATATAATAACATCTTTTTTATAAAAAACAAAATCTATACAATATTATGTATGTATTACAGTTTTATAATTACATTTATGCCTTTTTGAAAAAATAGTCATCAATATTGTTTGTTTTTGTTTTTTAGTAAAAATTTGTGTACAAATGTGATCTACGCTCATAATACTGTCAACAGGTCATTTTGACCATGAAACAAAGCATATTGTCTTATATTTTTAATATGTTCTTACACATCTCCTGCTGAGCCAGAGCTCCAGATATTTTTTTATGCAATGAGTTTTAAACTTCTTAATTTTTTCAACAATTAGTTTTCACACTACCCCGATTTCAAATTCAATAAGATTTTTAGAGATCTAGGATTTTTTTGTCTTTTTTTGTCGAAGGGTCATATTTAATGGGATACTACATGTATTTTATAAAGCATCAGATGAGCACCTACACCATCAGCAATGAAAGACTCGGTTCTGTAATGTTTAGTCCACTACGTTTCACGATTTTATTTCGACTACAATCGATGACATTTGCTATTTACTCAGACTCAATTCCATGCACGATTTCCTCATACAATTTATCCGGTCTTATTAGATGACTGTCTTTTTTTTCGCTCGATCCGACGTCATTTTCGTTAAGGGAGGTCACTCTGAGCACATGACAAAACTATGCAAATGCGGTGTTGTGATACGTTATTGCTCTGACAAAATATGTCACAATAAATATTACGATCGGAAAATCCGATTTTGAAACAATTGCAATTGTTATTCGTTTTTAAACGACTATTATTTGTGACCATTGACCATGTAAAATATTTGTTTGTTTGCTTGTACACATCTTACCTACTCGCTAATTACACAGGTGAGAATGCCCGCAGGGACGATTGTTTGTCACGGCCGTTTAATAGATACTTTAACACTTAATTTTGTACATTTGGGTCGACATTCGGTGGCCGCTGGCTGCGATATAAAATAGTCGTTTAATGGAATTAAATTAAATAGTAAAAATCATCGGGAGGGATTTTATGCGGCCGCTTAATAAAAAAGTCGCTTAATAAAGGTGGACGCAACAACGATGCCGACTGTACCGGTAATAGCTGTAACCAAAATGAATTTAAAATCTAAGAGATAAAAAGCCTGTTTATAACATAGTGGTTAAATTTAAAATACTAGTAAAAAAAACACTACGAACGATAATACTATTTATGTAGGAGAAGTTGAACAAATCTTAGACAAATAGAAATATAATAAGAAATTAATTTCATAAAAATAGTATCATGCTGATTGCTGCTAGATGATCAGAAAGACGGGTATAACATAACCACTGATAAAATATACGACTGAGTGTCAAAATATATCTATATGTCTTGTTTAGATCATTCCCAGAGAACTTAGAGTTTTCAACAAAGAATGAATTGATGATTTAATGCATTCCTGTGACAAAGCAAATAGATTGTCCTACAAAATCACTGTATAAATATATATTGTCGGAATTTGGTATTGATTGAGTTGTAATAAGATTATGGACTGACATTGGCTTTGACATTGACTTTGGGATTCTAATATGGAATTACAAGAGACGTTTAAATGATGTATTTATGTAAGTGTTTGTACAGAATATTTTGATTGATTTATAAATGGATCGAATTAGCTCTTGTTCGTAACATTGCAGACAACTTACTAGCAGGCATTGTATTTCGACAGAATGAATTTGTCTTTAAACATTACTTTTTTAAATTTTGAGGAATTTTATTTCTATTTTGAAACTTCAAAGAACACACTATAACAGAACTT